AGTGGGAGGGGTTTTCCAGGCTGTTGAAGCCCTGTCCATTAGCGGGAGGTCAGGCTCCGGGGCAGCACCCACCCGGAGGCCCCACAGCCAAGCCTGAGTAGATGCGACTTGACTCGCGTGGTATTTTACAGCTTCCCTCAGGGACGGCAAAACAACAGAAACACCACTTTATTGTACTCCACATGCCCCCAAAATGACAGAAACGGCAGCTAAGAGAGTGTCGTTCTGCACAGTGAAGGGACAAAGGAAGCCTCAGTTCAGATCCTCTCTCGCCTTGGCGGGGATGGTGCTCCGAGGTGCCACTTCATGACGGGGGGGGTCCCATCTCTGCACCTTCTGTTCCTGTCTTTTTTTCTTAGCAACTAGCTGACGGGAGAAAAAAGCAAAATCTTCCCACAGAATCTCGCTTCTGCTTGTTTACAAAATCCAAGAGGCAGCTGTTTATTCTCAGAAAGGGGAGACTGCAAGAAGCGATGCTCCAACAAGAGAGAGCTCAACGCCGCGTGTGCAGCCCTGTGTGTGCTCCCTGCTCTGACACCACTCTCTGCCTCCCTCGGTGCCCTTCCCGATACCATGGGCTGCATCACGCACGCTACAGCCACACACGTCACGAAAAAGGAGAACAGGCACAAAGGCAAATCCTGAAAGCGCTCCCCGGCCAGCTGAGGTCTGCCCAGAGGAACTCAATTGCAGAACCGAGAGCAGAGAGCAGCGCACGGCAGGCGCTGCCTCACCCGGGCTGAGTGACCCCCGCAGCCCCCCGAGACCACCCGGGCAGGCGGCGGGGAAAGGAAACGAGCGATCAGTGAGGGAGGAGGAGGAAATGAAGATCACTGATCTGTCCAAGGGACTGCCTGGGACGTGAGGAAAAGACAGTATTAGAATGAGAGAAGGAAGCAGAACAACTGCCTCTACCCTGCCCTGAGAGAAAAGGCAGAGCAGTTAGTCAGATGAACGCCGTTTTTCATTTTATCTGAACTATACTGGGGAGTGACACATCATGCTAAACACCTCCTTTCTCTACAGTGTTTCAGCTGTTTCTTTTTGTTTAGCTCTCCGTATCAACCTGTTGCAAAAAAAAGCAGGATTTGAGTTTCTAAAACTGTTGTGCAGAAAGAAAAACGAACACTTCAATCTTTTCTTTCCTCTTCAAAGGCTGCCACCCCTCTGAGGTGCAGAGTGCTGTTCCCAGCCCACTGCCCACTGGCCCCCGAAGGAAGTTCCCAGCCCCAGGAAGGGATGTGATCCCCACTCATCACTCCCCTTGATGGGGAGTTGATGGGGTTTGCACTTTTCAAGCCCAATTCTTCTTCTTACTCTCTGTCAGAAACCTTTCAGATGAGGGACAGATTAACCACCAACATCCAAATATTTATCAATATATACTTGAACAGTTACAATCTCATTAAATGTTACTAATCGAGTCTCTTTCCAAGTTTCAAGCAGTTACTATCAATCTCCGCTGAGACTACTCCATATTCAGTGGTCAAAAAAAAAAAAAACCTTGAGACAAAAACAGTCAAAAAGGTGCAACCAGAAACAGCTTTCACCCTGAAGACACCCCAGCCACAACCAGCAGGCCCCAACTGCTTCTGCACCCCACATCCTGCTTGGGATGAAATGTAAGCAGGGGAAGGATTTCTTTCCTTCTGCCACAGCCTGCTGGTCCTATCACCAAGAAAGAACCCCCCTCACCACATTTCATCCCAAGACTCGTATTTTGTGTAGTGCACAAACAGGTCTGGCAGTTCGTTGTAAGGCAGCTCTACCTGCAGTAAATACATCCATGTTCATGCTGTGTTTCATGCTCAGGTATATATAAAGCCTGGATTTATATTTATTTAGACAGCACTACCCAAAAGGCAACAGCCATAAGAGATGACAGAACCCAGCATTACCTGGCCTTATCTGGCTACTTTCACATGACTTGTATGTAAATATTTCTGTGCTTAAAAACATGTAAGTAAAGGAGGGGACGATGCCAGTCAAAATATTTACAACCACGGGCAAACCTCAGTGACAGAAGCTCAGAGCAGTGCAGAGGGTAGTTGTAGCCAGAAGCAGCTGCCCAGAACATGGGAGGACAGGGAAACAGCACAACCAAACACTTGGTTCTGTGTCACATTGGGTGTCACGACATGCACAGGGCCCTGGGATGAGCTCCACCCTCAGCTCTGCCCCTGCAAAGGGCCACCTTAAGAAGCATGTTTTCTCTCCTTTTATCCTCATATAGCACGTAAAAATATACCCACTGCCAGAGAACAGGCTCATCTTTCCTACAGTTTCTTTGGCACACGTAACTTTTTTTCTGTAAACAGACAAAGTCTTTATACATGCTTTTTTTTTTTTTTTAAACATCCTTACATGTTAGTTAAGCCTTCTTAGACTTAATGGAGATACTAAGATGTACTTGTGAAAGTCCAAGCCCTCTGCATCTACATACACAGGCCTTTCTATCTTCCATTAATAATCAACAGAAGGAAAGAAATTATGTTTGCCGAACATATGATAATAATCAGAAGGTAAACATTAAGAACAGCAATCAAAAAACCTTGCTCAACCTCACAAAAAAATAATGATCAGGAGGGTCATGTCCAAGCAGCCTTAAAGTTTTTTCAGACTCTCTCTGAGATCAAATTTAGCACCACAGAAGGTTTTGCAAACATTTCTTAGAAGTAGCTCAGCAGTTCCAGCAAAAACAGAGTCATAAAAGAACTTTAAATGCACTCCCTAAAAGCCAAATCCAGAGGCACAGATCCAAAACTCATCCTCAGAGGCTTCTCTACAAGGGCAAGAAGTGACATGCACACACATCTGACATACAGAGAGAACACGAAACAAGGGTTCCTTTCCCCAGTTTTACTGCTCAGAGGCGCTGACTGTAAGAGCGAACAGCTCACGCCACAGCAACAGACTCTGTGAGTCCTGAAGGGTCCCCTCTAAGCAACCAGTGCTTAGACCTTTTTCCTCCCAGCGCGAGAAAGCTTCTTATTCAGCGTGCTTTGTCTTGCTCGTCATTTACGAAATAGGCGATTCCGAGAGTAGCAGCGGCACATCCGCAGTTCCGAAGCGCAACAAAAAAAAACCCGCAAAAGTGTTAAGGGGGGGGAAAAAAGGGGAGGAAAGGAAAGGGAAAGGGAAAGAAACTAGCCTTAATGTCTAAAGCGAAATAAATCCACCGCACCGCAGACGAAAGCAGCGCCGGGCGCTCCCCAAGCGAGGCGCTCCAGCGGCGCGGAGCCCAAGGACCCTCCGTCGCTTCTCGCCCCCCGGGGAAGAGCAGCTCGCCCCCGGCCCCGCTCACCTGGTCCGTCCGGGCTGGCGCTGGCCCCGCGCAGGGCCGGGCTGTGTCGGCGCTGGCCCCGCCGCTCCCCGCCCCGGCTGTAACGCGGGTGGGCCGGGCGGCTCCGCCCCGACCGGACCGGGCTCACCTGGCCCGGCCGACAGCGCCCCGGCCTGGGGCGTTTGACGAGCCCGGGGGATGCGCTGCCTGATCGCCACTTCCACTCCCCGCTCGCAGGCTCGGCCCCGAGACGGTTCTGTCCAAAAATAAAATCACGATAGCGAAGTGGAGATGGTGTAAAGAGAAAGGGGTGACGCGTCCAGAGAGCTCAGTGAAACAGAGAGTTATAGAAGAATAATCGTGGTGAACTTTCCCCGAATTTTGCAATGGGGATGAGGGACAGAGCTGTGGTGAGTGCCTCTGAGAAAGCCCACACATGTGCTCTGTAGTAGCATGACCTGGGTGTTGTTCATGCATGTTCATGCATCTCCTGCATGAACCAGAGCTGTCACACAGGGCCTGAAGTGGCAGCTGCAGCAGCACCACTGATGAGACAGTCCGGGACAGTGATGAGGGCAGGCTCTCAGTAAATGCTCACAGACTACAGGAACACAAGAATCACTGATAGATCTTAGGGCAGAGAGAAGGGAAAGCACTACATAAGCACTACATCCAGCCACCAGAGTTTTAGCAATGCTTTTATCTGTACACAGTCTTCCTAGCTGATAATAAACCACAGCATTCTGGAAGGTGGTTTTACAAAGAGAGCTTAGGCACTGAATTCTTTCCCGTACTTTTCCACTTAAAGATACCAGAAAAGCATGTCCTGATATCTCTACAAAGGTAAGGTTTATAGCAGACAGAAGTATACACTCTTTTAGCCAGCCATTATCATACAAGAAGCAGCAGTGTGCAATTTGTGGCAAAACTGCCACACACAGATTTTAGCAGGGCTTTTTTTTTCCACGAGGAAAATTAAACAGAAGTCCTATAACATAGTGTGTTTGATCTGAGAAGAGGGCATTTAGAAGAGGTCTCAGAATATGCAGCAACCAGCTATCTGTGTCAATCACACGGTTGTCTTCCAAAGTATCTTACCTCTCCATCCAGTTCTGTTCCACACAAGATCTTACCCCTTGGTAAGATACAGTTACAGGACTGACGACTTCTCTTGCTTAAAATATTAATTAGAGCTAAAATTAAACATTTATTCCTGGAAATCTTTTCTCTTTTGCTTTGTGTGGCAAAACTGCTTTTTTTTGAGGTGGAGGAGGATGAAGGGAAAGCACTACATAAGCAAGCACTGTTCAGAGCAGTCTCCCCAGTCACACAGCCTGGGATTACAGCTGTGCTTTCCTCAAAGGTTCAGCACTTGTGAGTCATCCCTCTTCTTTTCCCCTCTCCCTCTTCTTCTCAAGCAGAAAAGCACAGCCCATGGGAAATACATGACAATGGATGTCCACAGCCATGAGGCTGCTTTTCAATACTGGATGGTGAGTTTGAGGGACCCTCCATGTGAGTGTGTGTGCGTGTGTGTGTGTTCCCCCAGCCACCACAGCTAAGAAGCATGATTTTGCCTGTTGCTTTTTTCACCAGCTGCCAGAGACAGGAGAGGCTCCAGCTTCCCCCTGAACTCCCAAATTGTCTCCCTCCCCTCTTCCTCTCTCTCAGTACAATTACTAACGATCAGTTAATAATTTCCAGCCCACGTGCCTACCTTACTCTCTCTGTCCCTGGTGTGGGGTGGCCGTCAGCGGTGCAGCTCCTTCCCGGGATGCAGGCAGGGCTGGGAACCTCCCCAGAGGACAATGCTGTTGGGCTGGACCAGCAAGGGGCACCTCGCAGGTAGGAGGAGGGCAGGAGGTGGTCCAGAGCTGCAGGGCTCACCTGCTTCTCTCCTTTCCTGCTGGATGGTCCCCTGCTTACTCAGACACAGCTCTGGGCTGTTGCTGGGACTGAACACTCCCCTCAGCAGTCCTGAAAGGGGAAAAAAACCAGAAGGATTTCTTGATAGCATCATTATACCACTTTTCATTCATTTAAAGTATTCAAAGTGCAATTACTTACACAATTTGAGTGAAGGAAATGAATGTGTAGGGGGAAAATGTATCAGTTAATGTGATTCATTAGTAATGGTGGGTGATATTCGTCCCTGCACAGCAGCAAGGATGAGGTGGCTTGAACAGATCTCAGATAATTAGTGGGTGCTGATAGTAGATATAGGGCAAATACTGCCCACCTCTATTAGAAAGGCATGATTTAGTCTAGGATAGCTCCACACATCCAGAAAGGCAATCCAGTTCTGGATTCTGGACTGTTTTTAGGACCTAGTTAATCTAAAAGATGTGGTTGGCACAATCACAAAGAGTGTAGGCTGGACATGAATGAATTGTGCCTGGAAATCAGAAGCAGGCTCTTGAAGATTAGAGCAATCAGGTTGTAGCAGAGAATAATAGGAGGAAAAATACCCTTAACTCCTGAATATGTTGCATACTAAGTATGCTTCAGTCCAGAGTGCTCTATTGCACTTCATGTTCTCCTGTCCAGTGGCACTGCTGACTGGAAATAGAGCAATGCAACACCAGTGTGCCAAACCAAAAGAGTGTGATCTGCCTTTCACTTAAAGCTGTTTACTATATAATGGGATACACTCACTCTGTTTTACAAGATCCATTTTTTTTTCATACCAGGCTTCTGACAAGTTGTTGTGTGCTCTCACTATCTTAATCATCAGCAATTTTGAATCATGCTTCAGATGAGATCTGTTCAGTTTGCAAGGCGTAGGAACTGAGGACATCTCTGCTGTTCTCAGATAAATCTTAGCAGCAAGACCCAGGGAAAAAATGGTCATAAAGGAATGAATTTCACTCTGTGGTTAGGGCTTAGAATTCAGTTAATGCTACCTAAAGGTACAAATAACCTCGCAAACACTTTACAGAGATTTGAAATAATAAAAACAAAGCCCGAAATTGCCATATAGTCATCAATAACACAGACTGCTAAAAGTAGCACTAACACAACCTTCTCAACAACAACTTAGTCAAACATCTTTCCACCTTTCTCTTGGGGGAGGATTTAGCCCCCAGACTTGGTTATCAAATCCAGAGCACTCTTAACAGCGGGGTGAGAAATTAGTTCCTGAGCCTCACAGCCAGACTTGGGACACTGTGTCATGGACAACAAGTAGGTCAGCTCCAGGTTGTAATCAACTCCCATTTTGTACTCCCAGAAGGTGTAGCAAAATCCTACCAAACAGGTATTGCTTAACTCCTAATTTGGCTAGTTGGCTATTTCATTTGGCTACTGAAGCAGTGAGAGCTTTCACGAGCTTGCCTTTACCAGGTATATCTTCTTATTTTCCTTCTTCTTTTTCTTACACTAAAACAGTTCCAGGTTCTTTATCAGGAAGCAAAGGACTTCATGCCAGTGCAGAAGTCATCAGTGAACAGCTTGGCAGGAGGAACACTCCATCTAGTCACTGCAGATTATTTTTCCCTCTTGGCTAGAATGTTTTCAGGTTCCACTCCTTCTGAAGAAAGATTTATGTTTATCATGAGCAGAGGAATCTTTTGATGCATGAAATCAGACAGAAGCTACACAGCTACCACAGGTTTTGAGGTCAGTCAGGTTGTCTCTCCGTTGGTCCCGATGCAGTCTCCTAATACTCAGCTCTCAAAGCTGATTTTTCAGATCGCTTGTCTTCACAGTCAAAAGGATAAGTTTTTTTTACTTCAGGAAAAATAACATATATAGATTGTGCTCAAGCAGAAACATAGAAAAGCTGAGCTTTTCAGCAAGGTAAGCTCCAGGGAAATTGGGCTTCCTTATAACCCAAACCCATTCTACAGGAAAACAAGGCCTTAGAGAAGAACTGTTTCTCTGCCATTTGTCTCTATTATTTTGTAAGTACTGACTACCTGTCAGAAATGAAATACTGTGCCCTGTTCCCTCCTCAGCTGGAATCTTCTATCCCTTGCTCCTGTTGTTTGTATTTACTCTAGATCATTATCTCCAATTGCCTCACTGGCTACTCTGCTTGCCCAGCTGCTCCAGACACTCACATCCTGACACCACCTCAGCCTCTGCCCTCCCTGAAAGCTTCACCTTTCCTTCCAGTTGATCCCTGGCAGACTCAGCCTTGCATTCACAATCAGGCCTGTTTGCTGTCAAGAAGCTTCATTTCCATCCTTTAGTGGGACCCACAGGTGAGCTCCTGCCAAGTTCTGCATTATTCATGCTGGAGGGTCAGACCAGGAACTGATAGGCAAAGGGCATTAGCATTTGAAGACAAGATGCAGCATTGCAGCTGAAGTTTCCTTTTTAAGTGCAGTGTGTTACCAAGAGGTTAATCTGCAAGTGCAATGCATAAAGCAATCACAAGCACTGCAGAGCGGTGATCCTCCCAAGTGTACAAACCACAGGCACTAACACACTGTGCCTCACCAGCACTGAACTAGGAAAACTACTTTTTGGAATACCAAATATAAAAGCAGCTGCTCAACAAACATGTTACTATGGCCTTTATACAGGTTTCCAACTTTAAACTGGAACAAAGATCAAACTGACTCGTATTTTAGTAGTTCTGACAGATGTCATGATCAAAAGATGGCAATAGGTTAACCAGTCAGACTGGTAAGCCACTCTTTGACAAAAGTGCATGTATATCATGTGTTACCTGTAGTCATTTAAATACATTTGTTTTACCACACACTGGATGATAATGTTCATAATTCACAGCGATGAATAACGATGATAATGATCACATAATTCATAATGATGACATGCTGATAGCTAATTATAGCAAAAAAAAAAATAAAAAGAAAGAAAGAAAATGGAAGTGATGCTCAAATGAACACACAGGAAAATCTTTATTGTGAAAAAGAGCCTGCAAAACAATCCTCACACACACGTGGGCTGGGTTGTTGTTGTGACCTGCCTTGATAGATGGCAATTGCCTGGAGGAAAACCACCAACACCAACTGTGTAGCATCCCTTGAATGCTACAGCTGCAGCTGTCAGGAGCTGAATACAAAGGCAGGCAATTTTAATGGACAGTTTATAGTAAGATGTTTCTTCTTCCCTCACTGCCCATCTTCAGATTGTGCACCATTCTCCTCTTTTCCCAGTTTGTCTATTCTGTTTAGGTCCCAAACTGCACACAGAGGTCATGTCTGAGCTTAAACTTTACATCTTGGAAAGAGCTCTGTTCATTATCAGTTGATTCTTTGTCATAGCTCTGATTAAACTGGTACAAATGTCTTTTCATCTCTTTTGGTAAAAGACTGGCTCATACCAGCAGTGTGAATTGACTGGACAGCTAGATTCTCCCAAAACACTTGTAAATGCAACATCCTCCACAGCAAGAAAAAAATCAACAATTAGATTTTTTTTTTCTTTGAAAAAAGGATTAATTAAAAACTCCCACAGTGCTAGAACTGTTAAATGAATGAAAACAGATATGGAAAAGATTATGATGGAGGGAGATCAGTACAAGGCTCCAGTGTCCTGGCATCTAGAGGATTCTGTGCACTCCTTTATCCAGAAGTTTGGAGCAGAAACTGCACTCACAGTCCGTTTAACAAGATGCTATTTCCTGTGTTTGTGATCAGTGTGATATATGGGTTAGAATATTTGTGTTTGTTTCATTTTGGGCAATGATCCCATGAGCATATTCACTCCCACACCAGGGAGAGAGAAATGCATTCTCCCAGCTACATTTCTTGATGTATGATTACTTGTCTCAGTCTACAAGACACAATTAAAGGCACACTCTCTGTCCTCTTTTTCTCTTAAAAAACACTGGATATTAAATCTTATGTAGACATTACTTCAAGTCTTCTGAAAACTGACAATGGCAAGTTAAATATGGCAAAACAAGGGTGTTTTCACAGGCTGGCAAGCCTGCCACTCTTGAAAGCTTACCAGGTTTAAATATTTAATGATCAGACATGGCATTCATCCTCCTAATCAATTCCTTTTTTTAGATACAAGTCTGAAGAGTCTCAGAAAGTGCAATCAGGCAGTGCTGGAAACCTGTAGAGGCTTCTCACACCAAGCAGTCAATAGCTACACTTGCTAGGAAATGAATAGGGGAGGCAAAATTCTCTGCCCTGTTCCTTTAGAGCCATAAAAAGGGCAGATTGCCTTGAGATAAATTGGCTTTTATAAAGCCTTTTCTTTATATTCTTCATGTTGGTGGAATTTTTTTGCTTAGAATTAAATGAAATGGAAACTTTTACAAAGTTGAAATAAGGAAAATTCATTCTGGGAAGGCAGTGGGCAACGTAAGTCCCACACATGCAGAAGAACATCTAAGAGATGTTTGCTCACAGACCTGGCACAAACCATGGAAGTCAGCCTGGAATTGGGCTGGGCCAGGCAGTGGGTTACATTTGTTTCAGAAACACATGGAATATGTATGGGCTGATGGAATTTAAGAAATAAAAGTGACAGGAAATCAGAGAAGAGTGTCTGAAGTCATCTTTTGAAAAGAACTTAGGTACTTTCAGCCAAATGCTCCTCCTTCTCTCACTGGGGGTTCCTAGCCCTCCCTCCCTTCAGGAGCCAAATATTTATCCCATTCCTTTCTGCAAAACAATAGTCAGAGAAGGATTGGTGCTTTCCCCCTTATTTAGTAGCTGAAGGGTCAGGACACTCAAGCTGAATGTGGGAACTTCCAGCTAAGGCAATTCCCAGGGGAGAAAAGACTTCTTCAGTGTCTCTCAGCTGGTCTCTGTTGGCCCAAATGTACAAGTCATCTGAGGAGGGTCTTGAGTACTGGACTCTCCTCATCCAGAAGATTCCCCTCATCAGTAGATGATACTGTCATTCCTTCACAACTAGTTTAAGAAAATTTGGACTATTCTTAGCAAAAAGAATTGCATTGACTAAGAGTTCAAGCACATCGATCCACAAGAGACAGACATTCC